GCAGAAACCTCCCAGCCCTGGGAGACCATCTGCGCTGCCTTCCCCATCCACCTGCTCCGACCCTCTCCGGAGCTGCCATGTTAGACTTACTGCCTTCCTTCTGGCTGGGCTGCCAATCACTCAAGACTGGCTCTGGGACAGGAATGCCTGTGCGCCTCAGCTCCCCACAGCAACGTGCTTAGGCAGCTCCACCGCTGCCCAACAGCGTCTTCCCGGGGGAGCCTGCCTGAACTGCAGTCTGGCACTGTGGCAAAGCTCCCAACTCACATTCTGGGGAAATCGCCATGCTGCACCCCGACGTCCGCAGCCTCGAAGCTTAGAAGGACAGCCCACGCTGCCTCTCAGTATGGTGATGCAACACATGCCCTCAAAGCTATTTCCCAAGGACACCAAAGCTCCAGAGAGGCCGCTGCACGTGAGTCTTAGCCATCCAAACACAGGGGGCAGGCAGAAGCTGCCACCAAGGCCCGCATGTGCGGACCCACCTTTGCTCCCGGCCCCACAGGCCTTGCCCAGCACCACGAGCTTTTTCACTCTTACCGGGTGAAGACTTGGGGGCTGCTCTGTTTGGCTGTCTCTGAGCTGGGGGCCGGAGTCTGCTCCACGACCCGCACAATGACACACTTCTGTCCCGGGCTGGGACCTCTGTCCATACAGCTGCTGGGGTGGGGTGGGTGTGGCCCGAGCAGATGATGCCGAGGGGCGGGCTCCAGCATGGACAGAATAGTGTTGTCGGTCACAGGGGAACCTGAGGCACAGCCTGTAGGCATCTGGTGCCCTGGCCAGGTTAGGGGTGCCACACAGGCAGGAGTCACCTGGGAGAGGTCCATCCACAGGCCCACTGAGAGGAGAGAGAACGGGTCCTTGGCTTCCAGGCAGCTGGTTCCAGGCTCTGGTTTTAACCGTAAGGTCCTTTCTTCCGGTTCAGTCTCAAAGGACCCCAGTAAATGGGGCCAAGGGCAAGAGGCCCTGCCGGATTGCTTTCAGGGCTCAGCTCACGCAGCTGCTGCCTGGGACACTGCTGAGCACCTCTGAGGAAGGCCTGGGGTGTCCTGCTGCAGGGAGGACAGTGGTCAGCCAGCCATCTGTCCACCGACCCAGCCTTCTGGGCCTCTGCATGAGACCCCAACACCGAGGTCCCCGGGGGATCAGAGGTCAGCAGGCACACCCTCCCCACATGCACGCACCGAGGCACGGGCAGCAGAGCAGACCGCTACCCACCGCAGGTGCTGTAAGCCTCAGGCCCAGAGCCACATGCAGGATGGGTAGAAATGCAGTGGTGACACCTACCAGGATTATCACCCATGGAACCAGAATGCACAAAAAGCCCTCCACACAAACAGGAAAAGGACAGACAGTATCACAGGGAAAACCCAGGACAAAGGTACAAATAGACAAGTAGTGGCGATACCTCCAGGGCTGGTAAACACTCCAATGAGACCTTACCAATCAGCAGGCAAGTGTGTGCCAAGACTACAGTGGTCCGATTACGGCCACCAGACTGCAGAGATGCCAGGCTGCTGGGCCAAAGGACAGGAGATTTCAGCTCCAGCAAGGGTCAGGGGTGAAGGAACCCGCTCTGGGCTGACGATGGACCACTCTCTGGCCCACTGCTAGGGGCACACAGAACTGTGGACAGGCACGTCACTGTCACCTGGACTGTGACTCAGAACAAAGCTGAGGGAGGGAGCTCTGTCTAGACAACTGTAGTGTTAAATCTGGCTGTGGATGGATTAAATATTCATGTCACGGACCAACACAGATACACCGCAAAAACAGGCTGAGCGTAAGACAGCAGGTTGTACGAGGTTAAGTACCATTTGATACAGGTTCTAGAAAGTTTGTGACACCAAAACAGAGTGCAGACACTGCTGTGTGAAGATGTGAAAGGTAGTCTGAACTGGGCGTGGCAGTGCACGGCTGTAATCTCAGCACTCTGGGAACCAGAAAGGTGGCAAGTTTGAGCCCAGCTGGGGCAACATTTCAAATTTTAAAAAGGTCTGGGGATGTAATTCAGTGTGATGGTCCTGGGTTTAAGCCTCAGGAGCAGAAAAGTGCTTCTTTTTTTAAAGTGGTGTAAAAGGCACAGGAAAACAGATAAAATGCCAGAGAGTGACTATGGGGTATAAAGGCTTGGTGGGGCAACAGAGGCCTCACCTCCAGGAGGTGCCTGCAGCAAGGTCAGAGGTGAACACTGAGGCTCCCTGCAGACAGGGGTGGGGGGGTGTGGGGGAGT